AATGTCGGCGGAGCAATCGTCGGCGGAGCATGTGTCGGGTTACCGCTCATCTATCATACATGTGCGCGCGTGTGTGCGTGCGTGTGTGTGCGTGTGTGTGTGTGTGCGCGCGCGCGTTTGTGTGTGTGTAAAGATTATTTTTGCAATGATATATTGGATATATTAATATAGAAGCAGGGGATATTATTGTCTTTGGGTGATTTTTAAAAAGAACTTTTGGAATTTAGGGAAGAAGAAAAGAATATTGCAGGGAGGGCAGGTAAATAAGCCTTACATTTACAGAAATGGGAACAAGTGATTTTTTTTTTAATGAACTTATAACACTGGGCTATTGTAGCCTCGTTTGTATGATTTATTCAATTTGTATTTAAATAGATTATTTCTAATATTCTTTCGCTCCAATTTTGGGTATTCTGAGGAGGCTAGGAACAGTGTGTGGTACATGTGACTGTGGTCGGGTGGTGTGTGTGTGTGTGTGTGTGTGTGAGTCGCATGGACGGGGTAGTAGTGTGTTTGGTTGGAATGGGTTATTTGTTTTATGTTGCAACTGATGTTTTTTTTTTCATCAATCGTACGATCTATGTAATGAAAATGTTTTGAATCATGTCAAGATGAAAAACAACTGTATCATATTTCTAAGATTGATTTATATTGTTTGGAATCAATACAAAAAAACTATTGACAAGAAAAAGTGTGTGTGTGTCTGGTGAAAGGTGAGAATGTACATGCCAAACAAATGTGATAAAACCAATGATTCAATGGCTAAAAAGATTGAAAAGTCATAACATGACGGTTCATATAAGCGAACAGGGGCCAAAATATTCCATTTGAACATTTTTCAACCGGGGTGCCGCGTGAGAAATATAGCTTTATTACAAAAATAATTTGGAATGACGTCGATTTCGTGAAAACCATATTTTAGAACCGCTAGACTAATTCCATGAGGAAATAGAATTTCCAATACAATAATGAACCCTTCATCCTCTCTCGCTCGCAACAATTATAATGTAAAGCGCTTAGAAACGTAGTATTAAGCTATATACAATGACTTAATGTGACTATCTTTATACTTTAGAAAGAGGAAGATTTCAGGCAGAAAAGTATTAAAATAGCTCCATATTTAGGCAACGAGGTGTCCGAATATCCTTATACTTTTACATTATAATTACATTTGTACCATGTTTGTTTGCTTCAATCACTAGCAACATTTAGAAACAGGATAATTCTGGACAACGAGATGCCGGATCATATCCTCATTATTCATATATCAAGGTGACCGAATAAATGATTTCTGTCTTCAGTATATTCGGCGGCGAGTTGTCCAGAATTAAAATGTCCTCTTACCCCCCCCCCCCCCCCCCCCCGCTTATTCAGCGGCTGGCTGAGTCGTTGCGATTTTTGGGGACCAAAAAATATATATATATATATATATGTCCTCTTACCCCCGTGTGCCCTCCCGTGTGCCCCCCCCCCCTCCCCCGGAAAGAAATTCCTGGAACCGCCCCTGATATTTAACATTGGATTGATACGCCTCGCTCGCAAGGTAAAGACGACAAAATATGTCCGTATGTGTGTATATGGCACTTGACGAGTGCCAGAGCGATACAAAATGAATCTTCTGTTATTAATTTGGGATTGGGGTGACGTGAAACTTTTTATTTCCTAAAAGAGTGTCTTGACTTGCCTTGAAAAAAAGTTTGAAATCGCTGGTCCAAGATATTGATTAAATATCATACTTTGCAGTTTGGTGTGATGGTCTGAATATTCGTTTGCGAGTGGGCAAAAAAATTAAAGATTTATGAGGGCGCATTGCAACCAACGAGATCTTATTAAGAGAGAGGAAGAGAGTGAAAAAGAAGCACAAAAGCTCACCATCAAAAACTGAAAAGACATTTAATAAGTTACATAATTACATCAACTGTAAATGCGAGCGAGCGTAGCTAGCGATGTTATTAGAAAGGAAAATAGGCATTTATCGAAGGAAAAGGGGCTCCTATATGATTTTAACGAATAGGGGCATTTACCAGAGGTGTGAAAAGGTATTTATCAGAAGGGGAAGGGGCTCTTTTTAAAAACGGGAATGAGCTTTTATCGAAAAGGAAAAGGGGCATTTATCAGAAGGAAAAACGGCACTTATTAGAAGGTAAAAGGGGACACGTGTCAAACTAAAAGGGGGCCCTTATCAAAGATGAGAAGGAACACTTGTAATAGGTGAAGAGTCACGTATCAGAAGAGGGAGGGGGCACTTATTTCAGGTGATACGGGGCACTTACAAGAATGTGGAACGGGCACCCATTACAAGTATTAAAAAAGAGGCACTTATATGAAGTTAAAGGAGCACTTTCGGGGGTACTTGAAAAAGAAAAGTGGGAGCACTATGCCCTACCCCCATCCTCTACCGTGAGCTATGTCACCGATGCACTTCGGAAACTAGTGTCCACCATGACAAAATATTTTCTTGATTGTACCCCTTTCCCGTTCTTAGTCAACCATTCTCTTTCTACTGATCACCTCCTTTTTAATCGATCGCTTTCCCTTCTCTGATTTCTACTCCTTGACTTTTACATTATTATTTTGTGATCTCTGCTCTCAGTGGCGTACGCAGGATTTTTTTCAAGGGGGGGGGGGGGGGGTTTTTAAAATCGGGTCCAAAATTTCGCAACGACTCAGGAAAATTTGAAAATCGCGCCGGCCAAAAAGTCGCTCAGTGGGGGGGGGGGGGGGGGGGGGGGGGGGGGGGTAAGCGGACAGTTTTTTTTTTTTAGGAGTCCAAAAAAAAATCGCAACGACTCAGCCAGCCGGAAAGTCGCTCAGTGGGGGGGGGGGGGGGGGGGGGGGGGGGGGGGGGGGGGTAAGCGGACATTTTTTTTTTTTTTTTGGTCCCAAAAAAATCGCAACGACTCAACCGACCGCTGAATAAGCGGGGGGGGGGGGGGGGGGGGGGGAGGGTTAAGAGGATACTTTTTTTTTTTTTTGGTCTCAAAATTTGAAAATTTGACATTTTACTTCGCTGGGGGGGGGGGGTAAGGTCACCTTTCTTAGGTCAGCCATGGGGGTCATTTTTTTTTTTTTTTTTTTTTTTTAATAATTAAAAAAAAAAAAAAAAAAAAAAACCAAAGGGGGGGGGGGGGGGGAGGTTTAGATTTTTTTTAGGGGGGTTTACACACTTTAAAATACCAAAGGGGGGGGGGTTTAACCCCCCCCAAACACCCCCTCCCCTCTGCGTACGCGCCTGTCTGCTCTTTATAAATAATGCGAAGAGAAAAAAGAAAACAAATCAGCCATTTACATTTCTTGTTATATCCGCACTCTTTATTTTTTTTTACACTCGTCTGATTTCCCAATTCGGTGTTCGAAAACCGTTGACGATCTGAGGGTTATAATTGTGTTTGATTCCCTCCACAATTATAAACTTTATAGTATGTCATTATGAAAGTAATGTCATTATGTCTGTCTATTTCCCCGCAATCAAAGACGGAACCAGGATTTGCAAGGGGGAGGCAATTTCTTAAAAAAGACTACACGACTTTAAAGGTTTTTGTTTTCTTGTGGCTTTAAGATATGCCGATTTGGTTTGTAAAAAAAAAGGACACAGGCATGTTGTGCCCCCCCCCCGACAAAACCCCACCGCTACTGCCTTATTTCTATTCTGACATTTTTTTTGTCATAATTATTTATTTTGGGTCACCTTGAATTGGAGGAAATATAGGAGCACTAAACAAACCAGAACATTAACCTTTTATGATTACGCTTCATTAACCGACAATATATATTTTTAGCGATACATGTAATGCCATTCACTCGAATTTCCAGAAGACATACGAATATACCATGTAAACTAAGTAAAGGTTTTATAATAATGCGATTAAATGTAGAATATATAGTGATTTTACGGCTATAAACTTTAGACTTTGAATTACAACAGTTTTACGACAGTATACAACAATATACATTGCTTAAATCAACTACATATCTGAACCGACAATATATATTTTAGCGATACATGTAATGCCATTCACTCGAATTTCCAGAAGACATACGAATATACCATGTAAACTAAGTAAAGGTTTTATAATAATGCGATTAAATGTAGAATATATAGTGATTTTACGGCTATAAACTTTAGACTTTGAATTACAACAGTTTTACGACAGTATACAACAATATACATTGCTTAAATCAACTACATATCTGAGCCAACTACTATGCACTACTACCATTGCATCACAACCATGTGTTAATGTATGGCAGAGCGAGGAAAAAGATATTAACCCAACATCTTATACGGAATTATACGGAAGTATTCTGTTGCCTCTGAATTTTGAATTTGTTGATAAATATTCCCACAAGTTTGTTTGTAAAATCCTGTAGAAAAAGACAGGAATAAAATCGATGAATTAACGGACTAAACAATATTTGTTTATTTTGACATTCTCCAATTTGAAAACAATTTTGAGAACATGTTCTGCACAGAACACCTTTATTTTTTAAGGCCCTAAATTTTGGGACACTCTGCATAACGATTTGTACACTTCCCCTTCACTAATTGCTTTTTGTTTTAAGTTGAAATTTTCCTCATTACTATCGTATATTATTAAAAAATTTATTGTGGTAGAATTTCTCCTTCCAAATGTTTTTTCCTTCTCTTTTCTTCTGCCCATCTCTAAAAATCCATACTACTTGCCATCATGTTCTTGCTCTTTTTGTTTCAGCTATATCAAGGATTTTGTGCGCTCCCTATTTCGTGCTCGATCTCTACAATTTTCCTTTTCTCTCCTCTCCTTCCCTCCAAACGTAGCCCACATTATTTTTCTGTTCTTTCTTCGTCATGTAATTGTTTACGTCTTCTTGTTTCCAGTCATTACGTGTTTTAATAAATGTTGTCTCTGTTGGCCGTTATTCTTCTTTTATTGTTTATGTATTATATACTCTTTTCACACTCACTATTATCTGAGGGGTCCACAATTCACAAGCTTTGCTTTTCAGTGGACCTCTTCATCTCCTAAAAATATAAATGCAGTTAAATTTATAATTCAATTTTTGTCTTCCTCAAATGCATAAATTACCGTTAACTATGTTTTGTATACATTTTACATTGGATTCGTTATTATGTATTGTATTTTGTTGGAAATGAAAAAATAATAATGAACTTAAATTAAATTTGTTTTCGACGCATTCCCAAATGGTATATAAAGTTTATCTACAACTCACCGCACTCACATTTAAATTTTGAATTACTAGTTTATCATGGCGTCCTATTATCTTGATGATTTTCACCAATACACACAGACCATAATTGTCAGTGACATAACGTACTAATGGTTACTTTGAATTACTACAGTACTCAACAAAATATATATCATATAAAGCAACTTTAGGCGATGATATAGCCACAGCAATTTTACATCTAATAGCAAAAACAATACCAATGGTATCAGAACGGTAATTCTACTTTCCCTGAAACTTATCTATCCCATCCATATCTGTCTAGATGTGTGTACACCAGATAAAAAGTATGATCATAACAAAATATTTACACACACACACACACACACACAAACGCATATATATTTAGACAAAAACTTGATGTTAAAAAAGGATAGAGAAAAGGGAAGAGAGACGACGTCATCAACTCGCTAATTTGCATACAGCCTTGGTGATGTATATCACTTTTTTGTAAAATTATGCGACCGTTTTAAATTCCATAACTGTCTTTTTTTCCGTCCAATTTTGATGAAAATTCCACTGTTTTGTTTGTTTAATTTTACCCTATTATTCTATTCAACTAACACATGGGCCGGACTTGCCCTTTAACTGGGCGTCTTCCCTAACAAGAAGTTAAAATTTGTTTGCAAATTATGCACAATATTTTCGCTTTGCCTATGAACAATAGCTTCTTCAAGCCCAATTTGCTGGACTATCTGTATACGAATTCGTACATTTCGAATTAATATTTAGATTCTAAGAGTATGTACAGATACTTTCTACTTTAAACCATTAACGGCTATGCAGTCTTACATTTCGACAGAATAATTAATTTTGAAGAGAATAACTATTCGTACTTTCATGTAAAACACTCTGGAAAATCACCAGGACCATGTAAGGGCAATAACAAAGTGAATTTAATTACATGTTTTAATCCAGCAACTAACCTCTATAAACACTATGAAGCTCGTGGTTAGATTTTTTTCACTTCACATCACAAACTATAAAGATATTCAGTTACAATAATGTTAAACTCAATATTAAAAAAAGTCAGGTAGATAATGTAATAATCAAAGAGTCAAAAGAAGAATTGGGTTGTTACAATGAGATTCATAACATGCTGCATCGTCTTCTTCTGTTGCTTATCTGGATTCAATGTGCACGTTTAAGTTCTTGGGATGTAAAGTGATCCCAAACTGAAACTCCAAGTTGACTTCCCCACCTTCTGGACAACTGAACCTAAGTTGGTGTAGGAGTGTGCTGAAGTAGATGAAAAGATTAATACTCGCCAAACCTGATCCGACACACCGTCTGCGACCGAGACCAAAGGCTTTCAACAGTTTCATTTTTTCGTCATCAAGTGCCCCGTCCTGAGCGAGGAAACGACGTGGGTTGAATACTTCAGGCTCGTCCCAAACCTCTGGATCAAAGTTAGCTGAGTAGAGGTTGACGAAGACTACCATGTCCTTAGGAACGAAATACCCGTCGAGAATGGTATCCTTAGTCGTGCTGTGAGGAATGCCGAAAGGAGTGACTGCTGCGTAACGCTGGATTTCAAGAAGGCAGGACTGCGTCAACGGTAGATATTCACGGTCGTTTAAAGTTGGCAGACGATCACGACCGACAACCTTATCAATCTCGCATTGGACTTCATACTGAGCTTTTGGGAACAGAGCCATGTGTACCATTGCCCACTCCAAGGTTGCCGAAGTAGTTCCCAATCCTGCTCCAAAAAAGTCAAAGGCATTTTGTAGAACTGTACGTCCTGCCAAGCCCAAGCGTTGGAACTCATCCTCTTCACTGACGTGGCCGAGAGCAATGATTTCATCCATGAAAACATGTTGCGCAGATTCTGGATCATAAAGTTCATGGCGTTCATCAATGAGCCCACGTACGCTTTTGTTGAACCTCTTTTGTGCCTCCAAAAATCCTGTCGATGAATCGAGAGAAAAAAATCTCAGCCAAGGTAGGAAGTCTACAAGGTTTCCACTTCCGGCCTCCGACAATCCGTCCAAAATGTTGATAGATTCGATGAACTTCTTGTCGTCGTAGGAGGCACGCTTCCTGAACATAAACCAAAGCATTAAATTACTAACGGACAGACGTACAAGACATGGAATGTCCACGCTTCTTTCACATTTAGGGACTTTCAGATAGCGGACCAGCTCTTCTGCTTCGCCTTTGGCAACACTTTCAACAAACGGGACCTGACTGCCTGCTGTAAAGTGCCGGAGGGACGTCTCGGTAATCTTTCGGTGGAGCTTCCATTCCTCGCTGTATTGACTAAAGCTTAGGCTTGGACCGAACAAGTTGGCACTGTTAATAGCTTTTAGTGTTAACAGGTCAGGGCGACCAGCAAATACAACTGCCTGTTTTACTAATGCGTTACGGATAGCCTTTAGACCGTTCAAAACAAGTACAGGTCGGCTGCCCATCTGAATCTTGAAGACATGGCCGTAGACCTTTGCTAGCTTCATCAAGGATAGATGTGGGCCGCTTGGATCCAAGGACAGCATGCTACCAAAGACAGGGAGTCCCCAGGGACCAGGGAGTGGACGCCCTCCACTTTTAGCCACCTTATCACTCTCTCGTTTTGCATTAATCCAATATCGAGTAAAGAGAATCGATGTGATGATCAGCATTAAATATGTTGTGACTGAAACGGCATTGATGAGGACATCATCAGTCAATACGTCGGGCAAATTCTTATCCATGGTGACAGTTGAAACAAACGAAAACTTCGATTAATGTGTAATAGCGCTTCACATAATATCGTCGATTGCAGTTGATCATAAATGGCGGTTTGCGGTTTGTGCTGTACTATGATAAACTCATGAACACAACTGAACCGTGACGAGTTGAAAGGATTTTTTTTCCCTCTGAGGTCGCGACCTTAGACGTGACATTACCGACAACCATTTGCGCTCCCGCGTAGCCAGGATTTGGTTTTAGGAGGGGCGGTCTGTGATCTATTGCGCACCAAATTATGCACTCTTGTTGCGGGGGAACCTCCTCCTCCCCCCCCCCCCCCCATCTCGCGCGAAGTGAGGAAGCTTAAATATCTGTTTCGATACATAACTATTATTGCTGTGGTTATTACGTCGAGCTAACTTTGGAACTATATATAGGCAGTGGCTTGATGAGGAAAAGAAGAAAAAATTAAGGTGTTGATCGAGCCAGTATTTTTTTGTAATAGAAATTGAAATAATCTCAGAACGTACATGATTACGTACACAACTGATATACTAATAGCTAATTTTCGACTGCGGGGAGAGTGGCATTGTCACTAGTCTAAGATATAGTAAAGGAATTGAACGTCTTCCTTTCCTTTCTAATGCTCTTTTTTTCTTCATAAATCTGTTTCCTTCTCTCCCTTTCTTTGAGGGGGGCGACCGCCCCTTTGCCCCCCCCCCCCCCCTGGTTCTAGGCGCCTGCGTTCGTGGTTGAGAGAACGGGAAGAGAGAAGTACGTTAATTTAATTTGCATTATGAAGTCGATACCGATCACAGAAGTGTTTCGTACATTCGCCTCTACAGTGAGTTAAATATGCCACCGATGCACTTTGCGGGCACTTTGCCACTTGGGGTAAACAAAGGCTTAGTGTATTGTATACATACAAATACTGAATAGTCCAAAGTTCAACTTGACAAAATGCATGAGCAGACAAAATGAATGAGCTAGCTAGTCTTTAGACTCACTACATTAGGGTCGGTGATTTCTTTTCATGACCCGGGGGGGGGGGGGAGAGAGACGAAATGCGAAAAGGACGAGGGAACATGGTGAGCAAGAAGGGCCAGTTGCGAAGTGAGCAAAAATGTTGGGAGGGGGGGGGGGGGCTAACGTATTTACGATCAGGTAGAGTAAGGGGATATGTATGGATGTTTAAGTATATATATATATATATATATATATATATATATATATATGTGTGTGTTGTATGCATGTGTATAATTATGTAAACATACATACTTTATATGTATATTTATGTATAGGCCTATATTGTATAAATGTATGTAGGCCTACTTGTAACGATTATTTATATGCAGTCAAATATTTCAACAATATATCCTTCACCTATATCTTGCCATTATGTTGTTTATGCATGCCATACACTCCATTGCTACCATGTTGCAGTCCTCTTCTTTTCCTCTCTTCTTTTCTCTTTCTCCAAGCTCTCTATCCTCCTCTCCTCCGTGTCTATCCCTTTCTTCCTTTCTTCCTTTCTTCTATTTATAATGTATATTATGCATTTGTGTATTCGGGCCTACCCATTACAAGCTTTGCTTATCGAGCATTTAATTACGGACAGAAGAGCATTCAGGAGCCTAGGGCGGATCCCTTGGACCCCATTAGGAGTTTAAGGCTTTTAATAACGGTCAGATGAGCATATTTTGATACCTTATTTGTGATACTGGCAGGTCACTTATTGGAGTGAGGTCTGAGGAGGGGCGCCCCAGAAGCTCAGGGGTTTAGGCATTAAATTACGATTAGACCGATGAAGATTTAGGGGCCCGCCTTAGGGCCCTTGGTGAAGTCCGGGGGGCAGAGCCCCTGGAAACTCAAGGGAAAATAATGCCATTTCAGGTTGTAAAGGTTGTAAATATTTAATAGGTAAATTGTATTGAGTGGGCAGGAAGGGACTTTTTAAAAGAGCAAGCTGAATATTCAATTTGTACGTAGCACTGATCTATTTCTATACCTCTTAATCTTGTAAACATACAGTGTAAAATGTGCTTACGTGATACATGTACCAACAGAATATTTACTTTTACATTTAGAAGGATATTATGTGAGGGAGCGTAGCGACCGACTGGGTTTTGGCATTTTTATTAGTCTAAACGCTGCGCTCTTGCATGGGTCCTCCAGAGCCTAAAAGTGAGTTGCAGTCCTTAGTCAGTATTTGCTATACATTTTTTGTTGCACTTTTTCACATTTTCCGGGGGGGGGGTACGACCCCCCCCCCCCCCCCCCCCCCCCCCCCCCCCCCCCCCCCCCCCCACCAATGATCGGCGCCCCTGCTTTACATACATACTTTTTCTGGGTTTAGTTTAGCAGGGTTCACCGGCTCTAATGACAGATGGGCTATAATGACTGCATATCATCTTTCATGATATATTCCTAGCTGTTTCCCTTTTAGATATAATCTAACATAATTCATCGTCTTCCTGGCTATGAGTGGCTGCATGGTAATAGAAATGATTGGTTTAAGCTGGCAGACATTATTTCCTTGTGTATGTACGTATTCATTATAAGGCCTAATTATCTTATTTGTAAATGTAGATTGGATTGTTTGTATTAACATTTAATTGAATTGGAGGGACACCTTTCGTGATTGTTACAAAATATGGGAGAAGGGTTTCAACCATATCTTATCCGTTGTTGAGAAGTATACTTGAGCCTTTATTTCATATGAGCAAAACAAATAGGCCTATTTTTGTATTGTATTTTATTTATTATATTGATGTACATCAATATGCTCTTTATAAACATATGAATCAATTTACAATTTAATGTAACAAATCTAAATTCTGTTTGTAGACATAAATATATATATATATATATAAATTTACAATGCAGTGTATATAGCAAAACAGAAGGGAAATTATATACAGCAGAAACACTCTTTTTTTTTCTTCTTGTAATAACGTGACATAATTATAATGCATAAAGCAAATAATCAGTGTACAATAATAGGCTACATCCGAAGATTTAGATATAAAAACCTAATATAGCAATTTTCTAAATAAATTATAACTCATGCTATACACAAAAATTAAATGAGTTACATGGAATACCTAAAATAAACGACGTAATAGTACTTAATACATGTATTAAATGTATATTGGACAATAAATCAATAAAACAATTAAATTTTTTAAAAACTTACGAAGACCGGCGTCTGGAATGAGGCTACATTGCAGAAACAAGCGTCAAACGTCAGGGACCCCAAACGTCAACAAAAAGCTGTTAGCTGCTGGTATCTTCTTACTTTGCCAGAGATATTTACCGCCATGTCTATTAAAGATCCATTGCTTACTGATTTGAAAGGTAATGTGTTACTGCTATATTACTTTGAAATGTATATGTGGACAAATTTGGATTGCTAAAACGAGAGCTGGGGCATGCTCAATGTTTTTTTATTTTTTTATCACAGTCCCACGTGCTGTTGTATTTGTTTGTTGTGTAGATTATGTCCCCGCCCACTTTTTTGTCCGTCAAAATATTACTTGTATTATTGTAAACTTATTCAAATTACTGTTTAAAATCAAATGCCTAGATAATTAATCTGTCTGGAGACACAATGTGTGTATCTAATAATTCATATTTTTAACATGCGTCGTAAACCAGTAGGGGCGCTCATCCGAGAATGAAGATCGTCCGCATACATGCATACATGTAGCTTAGCTGCATTACTAAACTATCCTGGCTGTGTATTAAAAGCTGTGTTATTGATTCTCAACATTTCAAACACCATGTACAAAACTGAACTGATGTCACTCAAAATCGGTACTTTAGTGACGATTGATGACACCTAAATAACAGTAAATAACAGTAAAATACAGTATTTCCAACTTTCCGATGTTAGAAAGAATAATTTAAAAATTCAAATTGTAAGTCTACTGTCAAACTTGCCAATCAGCCGCATCAGCATGATTGTGTGCATTTGTGTGTTACAAGTGTATTGACTATTCATGTATTCAAATGCTGCCTATTAACACGTAGTGCAGTGCTAGAGGTCTATACGCATTAGCATCAATTGAATCTATGCTTTGCTGGAGTGCAGGATATCCTGGTAAACGCTCGCATCCTGTAAAAAATAAGGATCGTCCGCGAAAATTTTCGCGAATTTTTTTTCTTCAGTGCCCAGCAGGTGTAGGGTTCCCCGATCCGCATGCTGGCTAGGCAATGCAAAAATCAGATTCTGCGTATTAATAAAATACCCCCGGGTCACCGTCTACTTTTATGGGTTGTACAATGTATGTATGTCTTCCCAAGGATTTATCGTTCATTACGTGAAAGTCTCTGTACAAAGTGTGTGAAATGCATCAAGGAGCAAAATTGTGGAATTTGTTTCTCGCATCGCCAAAGCGCAGATTCTTATTTTTTCTGACGCGTCTGTCTGTGTTTATGAAGACTATCCTCGTTTATGTGGAGGATCCAGGGGCCCAATTTACCAAGCACTCAGTGGACACTTGAAGGGCCAGAAGACTGGCAAAGACACTCCAATGTATCACAAATCACAATAGACCAGTTCACGGTTAGCACCTTACTGCAATGACCCCGAATATCCACAGATCTTCAACACATGAAGAGGTCCCACTTTGTACATTTTGAAATAATCACTCCTTCAGCGATGGAGGTGCTTTATAAATAGCCTTTGTTCCCCCTTTTCAAAGAATACTTCCACCTGTGTACAATGGAGTTCACTGAATGTGCATGAATGAATAATGTTACATAACTTTCATGTATTTCGTCTCCGTGTATTTCAACATTAGTTCTGCAATGACCTTTATCTGCTCATGCTCAGACTGCAACCGTGAACTGGCTTATTGAGCTGCGCAGTAAATTTGAGAGGTACAGTATCTTGCAAACAATGTGAAGACAAATCTAAAGGCATTCTGGATATATAATCTACGCTACAGACAGTCTGAAGACAAGAGGTGGGATACCTGACCTCAGAAAGACAGATGGAACCTTCACTATATCAGATAAGGAAAAAGCGGATATCTTGAAGGCTTTCTTTGAGATAATCTTCACTGACAAGGACACTTCTGCTATCCCAGTTCTGGAATCAAGGCAATCTTCTGAATTTTGTCGGCCTGTGACATTACTGCAAAGGATGTACATAGCAACATCTGCCACAGCACTAACGTCCTTTGGCAATCTTCACTTGCCACTCTCTAACCAGGGGATGTAAGTGAGTTACCAATAGGGGACAATTCTGTAATTGCCGTGAAAAGAGTATCACAGCACTATTTAAATTTTACTATTATTATTATTATTATTGTTATTATTATCATTATTATTATCATTAGTATTATTGACATATTTATTATATTTCTCAGGAATATTGCTGAAGCTAAAGGCAGTGACAAGACCAGTTGATGATGCCCATCAGGAGACACTCCAACTTTTCACGACAATAGAGGATATCTTCAAGAAGGGGCTGAAAAGTAGGCCATCACACATAGTGCCTGTTTAGAGCCAGAAGGGCATTAAAGCCCCACTGTCCTACTTGTAGCTACTTGCTCCCTCTATATAGAAAACTTCCCCAATCGGTGCCTGTTGGTCCCCCATGATCCTCTTTTTCTTATGTTAGTTGAGAGCTGAGTTAATGAGATAGCCACCTGTCAGTGACCTCGCTGTGTGGTCTAATTCCTTCTGGCCCAGTAGTATTGATGCTCTTTAAATGAATTAAATCATATACCTTTAATACCTAGAGAATTGTCCTTCTGGTTCTGAACAAACACTAATTCAAGGTTATCATACAGACATTGAAAGCTCTTGCATGTATTTTTAAGCGGCACTTATAAGATAACAAATGGGTCCCTTACCACAAGTTGATATTCCATAAACATTCATGTTTCCACAAACTGCTGGAGATCTGGAATGTCAAGAAAGGGGGGGGGGGGGGGGGGGGTCACCAGAAACATTAGGAAAGTCGCCATTTGAGAAATTCATATACTGCAGTTTTGTATGTGCAAATTTTTTATATAACATACCTGATGTTTTTTAATGACATTATAGTATTCTAAATATGTTTTCCTTTAAGCAATAGTAATAATAAATAAAAATTAAACAAATGACTGAGTGCTAAATTATCACTCAAGACCCTTCTTTCATTTGGTTTATATGTAATTGACATTGATTTCTTGCATTGACTTCTTCCGGTCAATGAAAGCCAGCAATGTACATGTATGAAGTAAAGGATGAGGAACTGGGCTTCCCTGAACAGCTACATGTAGAGGAAACTATAAACGTACCACAATTATTTTCTCGATGATATTCAGGTGTCAACACAGTATTCGGGCTGTCTAAAAAGGACTACTGGAATTGGATAGAGCAGATTGAACAGCATTTCAAACATGGCAGGTGCGGTATTCAATGGATACTTAATGTATAGGTGCATAATAATTGCATATTAAACTTCAAAGAACATAACCATATTTGGTTTCAGTGGCTTTTTCAAGCTGCTCTTATGCATATTGTACATATGGAAAAGAATACAGTATATCAGAACATTCATTTAGGAAGGCATCTACATGTACCAGCAAGTATTTCAATTCAATTAAATTCCATGAAGGTTTATCTAAACATGTCTCGCAGTCACAGACTGAATTGTACATGTTTGTACAACTTGCAAGTAAACTAAAACAATAATACAAATTGCAACAGTAATACAACATGTAAAATAGAATATAAATGATACACAATATAACTAAGTTACACTAATATAATTGAAATAGAAATAATTCATTTATTCTCAACATTAGATTGTTGAATATTTGCCATTTTTACAGTATTGATGCAGGTAGTTTAGCAAAATGTAGCAGTACAAAAGGATGTGCCTGAAATTCAAAAGACATAGTAGTCAGAGATGTTTGTTGATTAAAAGTTCTTTTAGTTGAGGTAAAATGAAAACTAATTGAGATAGTAAGTGTATTTACCAGCTCCACATTGTAACAATGTAGTTCTATCTCTGTGTGATGAAATCATGATTTTCAAAAACTATGCACTTTGCATTCAGGATGCATCCTTTTGTGCCAAGCCACCTTATATTAATCCATCAATTCTAAAGGTTCAGTGACACAAAGACCTAACTCCATTTTGAGAAAAAGTGGTTTATGTGTCACTGAGCACTTGGGCCTTCAGATTTAAGTCTATGTTTCACTAGCCATTGAATTCAATGGGGTATTGGGTGGAGTTAAGTCTTTGTGTTTCCTGGAAAGCCCACATTTTCCTGAACATTTTGATATCAAATACTCATTTTGGCAAAATATGGAGTTACGTCTTTGTGTCACTGAACTCTCGAATTGTACTTCTCTTAACTCTTTTCCATCAGACCGAGTGCAAAATTTTCACACATGCTGGATGCAGTCCGGAAATCAAAGAAGGTAAGATAACTGATCTTCTGTTCAACCTCAGTCAAAAGGGACTTTTAGATTTGCACGGCGAGAATGTGGACTGCTACTTGTGACATCCTGGCGGGCACTGCCATTGCCTTAAAAGGATGTCACACCTAGCAGTCTACGTTCTCGTTGTGCAAATCTAAAAGTCCCTGATGAGAAATCGTCATTACTAGATTCAATTTCTAATTTACAGAGCTAGATCTTGTAATGTTTGCATAGCTTTCACTTAGAAGACAAAGTCTGAAGTCTCACTATGTGAAGTCGCTGGTAGCAAGATGACCAAGTGGTCAGATCCTGGAATTCATCAATTGAACAAGAAGGTTTAAGGAAAGATCTTGAATCTTATCTTGTCTCATCCGGGATCATATCCTGTCTTGTCTTGAGAAAGAAAACTTGTCTGCAGAAGGTGACTTGACAGCAGGCGCGGATCCAGGATTTCTTAGGGGTGGGGGCCCAATTTTTTTTTTTCCTCCCAAAAATTTGGAAAATCGCGCCGGCCGAAAATGCACTCAGTGGGGAAGGGGGGTAGTGAGCACTTTTTTGGGGGGGGCCCTCAAAAATTTGAAAATTTGAACCCCCCTCTTGAGCGCCAGGGGGGGGCCCAACTCCCCCAAAAAGTTAAGATTTACGTGTTTTAACACATTTTTTTTAACCCACCCCCCACCCCCCCCCCCTGGATCTGCCACTGCTTAACAGTACATAGAGTGTTGTCCTCTTGTTTTCTTGCTTCACAAAAGTCAACTATATAAGAAAATCCTCTTCTTATCCTGAAACCATTCTCCGCGTAATGAATTGTCTTTTAATAACACGTTTTCCTATCTTCTATTGGATGTAGGTGAAGACCAATCTCGGTAGGGGGAGACTGTTTATTCGACTGGCCCTCAACCAGGGGTTATTGGGCATTCCTATTGAAGTCATCACCAGCAACACAAGATTATTAGAGGTAGGGAGAAACTTACAACTCCAAATCCAGGAAATTTTAGGCTTCCTGTTCAATCAAATTCATCACTGAAAAAAAACTGAATTTCTGAAGATAGAGACACATATGGTATGTAGAGGTATCGTGGTATAGTGGTTCACTCATTTGACTCTCAATCCAAGCGTTGAGAGTTTGAAGCCCAGCACCTCTAAATGTCTTTTGGCAAGTCATTAATCCACATTTGCCACTCTCCACCCAGGTGTTTAATGGGTACCTGGCAGGATATATTCCTAGCAATGCACAGTGCGCCGATTACCGCTGCCAGGGCTAAAGCTAGGGTAATAATAATTAAAGCTTCTTTGGAAGCAACAGGACATTATATTTTTATGTGGTACATGCTGTACAAGAACAGTTTATTATTATTGTTTAATATTATTACATAATACCTAGATATAAATTGTGAGAAATACATGTATGATTACCACTTTTCACGATGTATAAGTTGTGAAATGATAACAAAGAAAGCACTACTCTAAAGTCCTACAAGTATTAAACAAAAAAATTCAAAAAGGAGGGGGGGGGGGGTCCTTGGCACTCCCACACCCTTTAAATCATTTCTACTCTCAATTGTTGATTTGTTGTCGTATTTTTTTTACAGAAATATGTTTTTATCAAAATAGCCCTTATTAATATTTTCATGGTTCGTGGAATTACCAACTGTATGCATAATACTGTTTTACTTTAAGCTTCATCGGTAGCATAGAAAGAGCCTATCATTCATAATGTAATCTCACACATTTATTACATTCCACCATTATTATGCAAATCAACTATGTCATGATTAGATCAAAGCGAAAAAGCCTCTTTTTTAATACTTCAGTCTGAGAAAAATTATCTTGATCCATCTACACCTCATATGAGGATCGTTCCTCTGTATTGGTGATCACTAAGCCCTCTCTAAATTGGCAAGACATCAGTGAAGATAACATTCTTGTTCTCTCTAGACATGTTATGATCCTCTGGAGTCCATCATTGGCAGTGAGTTATTAGTTGGTAAGTAGATACATATTAGGCCTGTCCTTTGTCCTTATCAGCTCAAATCAGCCAAATAACCTGCTATTTTAACTATCCAAATCGCCATAATTGGCCAATATCCAGAGAAATATTGGTTTTGTTTCCAAAATAAATGATCCCTCTATTTCCCAAATAGCGGGCTAATTTGCCTGTCCTAGCTAGTTTGTGATGAGCGAATCGGTTTGGTGAAATCAAAATTTCCGAGCTTCGGGATAATATCCCAAGTCTGAAAAAAGCGGGTTATTTGGCAAACTCGAGCTGATGAAGACAGGCCGATAGTCTTCTCTTTTTTCCAAATACATCTGGGAAATGTGGCTTTATTTGCAACTTGCAAAAATTTATCTGCAGAAAATGGATCTGCACTTGACTGTATATCTCAAGTTGTTAAAGCAGGTTTTTTGTTAAATTTTTTTCTTTCTTAAATGACTGAAGTTGTAAATTAAATATGCCTAGGTAAAAGTTCTGCAACTTCACACGGGGTATGTTGATAAACATTGTTTGCTGTAGTGTACATATAGTAGATGCGCGTGCACATTGTTGGCCCTGGTTTTCACCAATGAAATTATATAAAATTCCATGAAACAGAAGAATCAAATTCAATTAAATGTATTTAAACACCAATTGGTCTTGGAGTCTTTGACATTCATGGAGTAACGGTACTAATTCTGCAATTTTGAGATCTTATTCTTAGCATATCACTTGGCCTAGACTAAATAGTTATTTCAGTCGGTCAGAATTTTAAATCACTGTTCACCTGTGATAAGGCCCGGACTGTTTTTATTTTATTCACACCAGCCTTTCTTGATTTAAGTTTATAGAGAACGAGACACTAACAATGTAATATTAAAGCTGTGTAATTCTGTTCCTCCTTTGGGGAGTAATATTTGCTTCATTATCTGATATCGTTCATCTTGCAGAGAGTCTCTCATCGCTTCTCTTCTGGGCATCAGAAATCAAGTTTGACCTCAATATTAAAGTAAGATATTTAGATTATTCTTATGGTTTAAAAATCAATATTATAACCCAAAGGCTGAAATGCTCATGATTTCTATAGTGACATAGAACCTGGGGGTAAGATCATAACTACTAAAATTGCTTTCAAAGGGTCAGTCAAGACTTAACCCTAAAAAGACTGGGAGGGTGCTATAGCCCCCCCCCCCCTCCTCTATTTTTGCGATAACTTTGTAATGCTTCAATATACAGTGCCACTTCATGACTACTTTCCTTAGAGTTTTGCGCATCTTATGATACCAAATTCCAGGTCAATGGTCAAGGTGTTATATAAAACAATACAATATATAAAGAATAATACATAAAAAACCAAAAAAAACAAAAAACAAAGAAAAAAAGTAATTCAATTTTCATGATTACTGGAAAGACAAAAAAAAAAACAGCACTCCAACATAAGGAATTAGAAATGTCTTTCATGACTTCACGTGAAAGTATCATCAAAACATGTGTTGATATGACATCATAATTATACATAAGTTGGATATTTATATCAATTACCTTTTTTTAAATCAAAGATTGTGTAAATATAATGTTAGCATGTATATTGTACCACGAACACAGTTTTGTTTCATAAGAATCATCACATTTAAAAAATAAAAAAAATAAATAAAAAAAAAAACATACACAAAAATACAGTTTGTGCATAATTAATTAGCTCTAATTAGCATATTCTAATTTAACAAATATTTTAACTTTGCAGTATTGTAGATCTCATAGACATCTATCACCATGCCAAATTTGGAGTCAATCAGAGTTTCAATTGCCAAGATCTTGGCAAACGTGTCTCTATAAAGACCACCCCAAGGGAGACAAGAAAAGTGGTCTTTATAGGCAGGTGGTCTTCTAATACAGGTTCCTTTAGTACATGTTTCAATAAGAAACCACTTTCAAGGGAAACACAAAATGTGGTCTTTGTAGACAGGTGGTGACTATTAAAAGCAGGTTTGGCTGTATATAAAGAAGCACTGTCTTGTATATAAATCAGGGTGTTTTCACTAAGCATGTTCATATGAAATAAGGTACATGTAGTTGTGACTTTTTTTTATACTCTTCACCCCTCAAGAATTCAAGTTTCTTGGACGAAACGTGGCTGATACCAATTTACCGTCCCTTTGAGCTGGTCCCCAGTGAGTCTCTCGGGGTCGTCGTCAGACATATCTGGGATAGGATCATCGTGGCAGAGGTCAAACCCGGGAGTGTCGCAGCAGATGAGGTAGGATTGGATGAAAGTAGTAGTAGTAGTAGTAGTAGTAGTAGTAGTAGTGATAACAAAAGAATAAAGAAGAAGATTGAGGAGGAGAAAAGTAAGAGAAGAAGATGAAGAAAGGAGAAAAAGAAGAAAGAAGGTGAAGGAGCATAAGGAGATAAAGAAGAAGAAGATGAAGAAAAAGAAGGAGAAGAAGAAGAAAAAGAGGTAGGAGGAAGAGGAGAAGGAGAACGGGGAGAAGGGAAATGAGAAGGCTATAATGCGGATAACTATCCAATACACCTTCAAAATATTGCATTATTTTCCGGAATTTGGGCAAGTGCATAGAAAAAATAAAAATGAGCTGACTGAAAACCTTGAAATTGCTATCAATCCAGGTTTTCTCTCTTTGGTATTGCTATTAAAGTTAGAACATTGTTTTATTTGAAACAATAAAATCCCTTGGAATTGAAAATATTTTTGACTGTGTCTTTTACATCTGCTAAAGAACAACGATGGACCAGACCATGTCAAGACTGTTTTCATTTCATTTAAAGCCCCACTGCACTAGTTGGGACAGGAGGGATTAGACCTCCCTGCATGGTCACTGACAGGTGGTTACAATGTATCTCGTCAAATCAGCTCTCAATTAACATAAGAAAAAGGGGATCATGGGGGACCAATGGTCACCAATTATATAGAGGGCGCAAGTAGCTATAAGTAGTGCAGTGGGCCTTTAAAATGCTTTTCAAGGTACATGAAGTTTAAAACCAGGTGTACTAAGGCTTTGCCACTACAATATTTTGCCTTTGTTTTTGTTTTGTAATGGTTATTTTACCTCAATTTGTTTAATCGTTTACAGAACAAGATAGAGCCCGGAGATGTAATGGATGAGTTGTATGGTGAAAGCTTGTACGCTACCGTGAGAGGAAAGGTAAGGTATACATGTTCACAAACTCTGAGTGACCAATATTGATCCACAATGTACTTATTTTTGTATACATGTCAATACGATAATAATAATATAATGATAATCATAATATGTTACATTTATAAAGCTCATTACATAACACATTTCAATGTACAGAAGGCTTGCAGGTCCACCATGTGAGAGAGAGAGAGAGGATTTGGGAGTCCTTTTCAGGGCTCCTCAATCCTCTCTCTCTCACATGGTGCACCCGCAAGCTTACTGTATATCTACATCGCCATGCAAGCTGACACTTACAAGCAACATTTCAATGTGCTTTACATTAGATATATAATAGTACATGACTGTGAATTTCTTTTATACACATTGAAAACAAATTGAGATAAATTCTACAATACTAAATTACTTTACAAAGAATTCATATTATAATGTCAGTGTTTTTACTATTTTGTGGAAAGTTAACTTTTATTTTCATCTCTTAAACACTGAGAATTTTCTGTTATCGAAGTGTTAAGATGGAACATTTCAGTGTTGCCAGCACGAATATCCATCTTACATCTAGCATTTTTTAAAGCAAGGTTTGAATTGTTTTCTTCTTCATATTGTGTTTTGTATGTATACATTTTTTTTCTGTAGATACCAAGTTTACTGAAGGACCATATTGGCTGGCCGATCAGTTTAGCCATTGTCAAGGTACAAAAGTCATACTACATTTCATGTTCACTACTTGTGTATGTAATGAGAATAATGATAATTAATGAGATTTTTAAGGTGCCAATACCACTTTAAATCAAATGCTTAATTGTTACAGAACATTTAATTATTACTAAATGTCACTAGATGACACAATTAACGTTGCAACCCAATGAGAGATTTTAGTTATTTGCAGGAAAACCATATGAAGTTTATTAATAGAAACCTCCAATCTCCAGGCTAATTACTATCGAGCAATCTGTGGCACTGTCTAGGTTCAGCCATAGAGGGCGCACTGGTGCCATGAAGATGGAGGGGATGGGGTATTCATGTTCACCTATCTCTTGATATAATAATACTGGAAAGTGCTTATATAGCACACAATTCATAGAATTCTCTATTTGCTTCATATCTTTTATTAAAACAATAATAGATTAACGTACAACTTAGGCCTAAAAAAAGATGTTGTATTGCCCCTTGCGACTGACCCAAAATCTTGAAATCTACGGTCGGCTTTTTAAAAAAGTTTTTTTAATTTCGTTATTTACCGTTTTTTAGAGAAAAAATGTTAATAAATGAAAAAATGACCGACCGACCCATATGTTTTGGCACCTAATGTAAAGGGCTTATACAACATCTTTTTTTTTTAGGCCTTATCAAAACATATAATTTTTGGATATACATTAGAGGCCAATTCAATTTTTATGTGCTAGATATGAAGTACAAGAGAGCAAGGCTGTCAACAAGTGAGGAAAGGAAACGGGAGGGGGTCAAAATATCTCTCATCTTCCGGTACTGCCTTCGCTCTTCCTTTTTCTTTCTCTCTTTCTGTCTGTCTGTCTTCCTCTCCCTCTCTCTCTCTCTCTGTCTGTCTCTCTCTGTCTGTCTCTTTCTCTCTCTCTCTCTCTATCCATCTCTCTATTTTTCTGTCTGTCTGTCTCTCTCCTCTCAGTTTAAATGTTTGATTGGGGAGTACATTTCCCCCTCGCTTGCATGTAGCTTCAGCCGATGCTGCAAGCTTGTTGCACGTCTTCTTAAGATCTCAGCTACTAATGAACACCTGTCAATCAATCAATCACTTCCGCAGTGTCATCTACCGACGGGGAAGGTCTATCCTCCTCTGAAGGCAAGGTTTGATAAGATGGCGGTGGAGTACCCAAGCTTTGTGGCCCCCCAGGACAGGCATGCCAACGGGGACTGGTCTGGGTCTATACAGGGTCTAAGACCGGGGGAGGATGAGGAACCGCCCATGGAGAGTATTTCAGGGAGGTGAGATGGACAGAAACAGATGGAGAGAAAGAGAGAGAGAGGGAGGGAGGAATAGAGAGAGAGAGAGAGAGAGAGAGAGAGAGAGAAGGGAGGAGAAAGGGGGAGATAGAGTAAGCAAGATAGAAGGTAGAGAGTGTGATAGGCACACCAACAAGGTTTGGTTCTAAATCTGTTCCAAGGACTAAGACCAAAGGAGGGTGAGGACCAGCTAATGTAAAGTGAATCAGGGAGGTGAAAAGGACAGAAACAGAGAGAGAGAGGGGGGGGGATGGGGGGGGGGGGGGGGAGTGGAAGGTTGAAGGGGTTAAATAGAGTAGGTAAGATAGAATGCAGTTAGTGTGGTTCCTTCAGATAGACCCACCAACAGTGACTGGTCTGGGTCTGTACAGGGACTTAGACTAGAGGAGGATGAGGAACCTCCCATGGAGAGTCTGTCAGGAAGGTTAGAAAGACAGGAACAGAGAGAGAGAGTTTGAGAGAAAGAGAGAGAAAGGGGGAGTGAGGGAGGGAGGGAGAGAGAGAGAGAGAGAGAGAGAGAGAGAGGAGAGGAGAGGAGAATGTGGGGGAGGGAGGAGAAAGAGTAAGCAAGCCAGAAGACAGAGAGTGTGGTAGGCCCACCAACCAGGACTGGTTCTAGCTTTGCTCAAGCAGGAAGACCAAGGGAGGGTGAGAAACCGCTAAGGGAAAGTTAATCAGGGAGGTGAGAGGAACAGGAACCAAGATAAGGGCTAAAAAGAGAAAAAAAATTGTACAATTAGCACAAGTTTATGGAAATGAATTTGACAGGTAAATATCATCATCATCATCATAAAATATCTTAGAATGTGGTTTACAGAAAGAATTGATAGCTATTGAATGTATACTTGATATTGAAATAATGTATGCAGCTACTGTTTGTCATGTTTAAAGGTAATACAAAGTTTTGGTATGGGGTCATGAATTTCGTTGAAATGAACATATTGGAAGCTTATGCAATCATACAATATTAAGTGATCGTTGTCGCGGTTGAAATCGAGTCTTAAGTTATGAAATTGTAAATAATAAACCCTTTATGTTGTATAGCTCCCTCTCAAGGTTAAGATATTAATTAAGATATAAAACAACGTTTCTTGACTAAAATCGACCGATTAGCTATTTCCGTTTGGAAATTATATATTACAACTACATCTTCTGAGATTTTAATAGGCGCAGCTACCCTTGTACGGCCGTAGGCGCTATTTGAGATTCATCAAATTTACCGGGAGCACAGTAAATTTTTATATTCAATTTTTCTCGAAAGCAGAAGTGTTTTAGGGGCTAAATTTTTAGTGCTTATAATACATCCACAGGGACATCCAAATATATCAAAATTGTAAAGAATCACTATCCACCCAATTTTCAAAATTTCCCAAAACTTTGTATTACCTTTAATCTTGGAACAGTGTAGGACGACACGATTATTCCTATGTTGAAATTGATTCACTACATAAATTCTCCTTATTACCTTTTATCTCCATTTTTTCCTTTTCTTCAGTTCGTTCCACAAGGTGCAGTATATTGGTAAAGTTTCAACAGGAGAGGTGAGAAGAACTACCATTTATTTCAGTCTCTACTTTAAAGGGGAACTTTACCCTGATATGAATTTGGTTTTAATAGAAGCAAAGAAATGAGATAAACAGGTCAGTGAAAGATTGAGCAAATTTCAATCACAAATAAGAAAGTTATGAATTATTGAAGTTGCGATCAATCAAACATAAATTGACGTATGTGACATATCTTACGAGCTCCCCTCCCATTTGCTATGTACTCTGTTCCCTCAAGAAAATTTGTAATCATACATGCACCCTTAATATAATTATTGCAAATATGTTTTCCTGTGTGGAAAAGAAATCTATTCTGTCATCAATTACGCAGAAAATCTAAATTGATGAAAATGATTTACAGGTCAAGATATCAGTTATGAAAAATCTTATTTTGCATACTTGTGGCCAAACTTTTGGTCTGATTTTTTTTCTCTCTTGCTTTCTGCATAGAACGGTGGAACAGAGGTGATACAAGATGCTGTTCTCAAAGTACTTAATGATGCCACTAATGTCAGAAAGGTGAGTATTGTATGGGGCAAGGTTGATGGGCTCTAGATTTTTATTCATTTATTTATTCCGTTTTATTTAAACAGGGTAGCCCCGTCAGTAATCACAGTACTGTTTTCCAGGGGGCCCTGTAAACAAATGCAACATATATGAAGATACAAACTACTTGAACAATATAAAAATCATCAATACATAGTAACATATAACAGACAATAAGTAAAGAATAAGAGTGAATAATGAAACAAAGCCGTAGTAAGAATGATAAATTTCAATGAGCATTTTCAAATTGATAAAAATATACTCTGATTATTATCGATGATCTGTTCAGATTTTAACAAATTAGATCAGTGATTGGTTGAATTCTATCAGGTGACCATGCAGATGGGTATTGACCTCTTAGGTCAAGCTGCCTCTGGGTAGTACCTTCTATCTAATCACTCATATAAATATACAGATAATAACTTTTATAAGTTTGTAAATTATGTGAAAAATTGGTTTGCCCTGTTTTTTGTTTCTTGAGAATGTGACATCTAAAAGTATCAACAAAGGAATTGATTCAACCAGTCCACCTTTCATTCTTGAGATACCAAATATAAAATATATATATATATATATGTATATATAAAATTGACAAGGGGGTATGAATTATTCAGTAGTTAATTGTGTATATGTGTAGAGAGAGAGTGAGTGAGAGAGAGAGAGAGAGAGAGAGAGAGAGAGAGAGAGAGAGAGGATGGGGTATGTAAGATGATAGAGGTAGAGAGATTAGAGAGAATTGGAGAGAGTGGAAGAAGATATAGAAATTGAGAGGGTGATAGAAAGAAAGAAAGAAAAGATACTGAGAGAAAGGGAGAGAGCAAGAGAGACACATGTATTGTAATAAACCTCAATGCCTCTTTCAATTTTGCGACTATATATTTACAATATCAACAATAACCGTTTGATCTTCTTTGACACATATGTAGGATGTAGTCGTGGAGTTGGGTGAGACCCTGGTGATTATCTATGACCAAGATACCAAAGAAGAATTGATGAAACACTGCTTCCCTGAGATAGCATCTTGTGGAAGGCGGATGGACTATGTCAAATGCTTTGCGTTTGTTATTGGGTAAGTTCTGAGCAGGGCTAGGATAAGATTTCTCTTCACATTCAAGTTTGTTTATTCAACGCTCACATAAGAACCAGGGTCATTCAGAATTTACAAATAGATATGGATGGGATATGTGTGTTTTAATACAAGAATAAAAAAGAAAACAAACACTGAACTGTATAGAATAGTTTTTGTGAATCACTGAAAATGGATCGTGTTCCGGGTCTGTCATGGGATGAATTCAATCCTTCAGAAATCTGCCACATTACGATTTAGAATAACTACCCTCAAACATCTCGCCCCCCCCCCCCCCCCTCTCCTGATAATCATCTCTGGACAGTTGCCCCAACGGCAACTTAAACTACCTACTTAGACAGCTCCCGCTTCCTTTGAGTTTGCCTTCTATAAATCAAAATTTATTTGATTTTATTTCATAAAATTTTAAGTTAAGGATTACTATCAAATATTTAGGAAAGTTGTTTAAAAAATATGCAGACTCAAAACAAAGCATCAAATCATGTGTTTTTGTATTTACTCTTTATTTGCATTGGATCAAAACCCCACATAGTTTGTAGTATATGGTACATGTACACTGTAGTGTGCCAACAGTTGACTGTGGCAAACCGCTGCTTGTTCCATAGGTTGAGCAAAGCCAGTCAAGAGTTAAAGCGATCTCTGTAAACTAAAAGAATGGCCAGTTATACCCTTTTCACATCTATTTTTCTTAACCCCGGACTATCCTTAACCCCATACTATCCTTAACCCCATACTATTTTTTTTGCTGTTCACATCTATTTTCTTAACCCCGGACTATGTGCTTAGCCGGGGTTAAGAAATTTCACGCGATTCACACTACGTTCGCCTTAGCCCCGGACTATTCGATAGCTCATGAATATTAATGCTTTTGCTACCGCGCATGCGCCTTTCGACTAAATGAAGGGGAAAAACCCGCGCGCTAAATTTATGCGTAACGTGAACTGCATGCATGCGTAACGTGAACTGCATGCATAGCGCGCGATAAATGCAAATTCACGACCACACGACCACGCTGTCTGTGATTGGCTGTTGCTTAGCCCCGCTTCTCCTTAGCCCGGTTCGGATTCACACTACGCAGCTTAGCACCACAATTGCCCGGCTAACCCCGCAATTGCCCGGCTAACCCTGCTATTTTGCAGGGCCAGATAGTCCCGTACTATTTGTGGGGTTAGCCCACTTTGGCAAAACGTAATGTGAACAGAAAGCCGGCTAAAATTACCCCGGGTAATTGGTGGGGCTAAGGAAGGAATTGGTGGGGCTAAGAGCCCCCTTAGCCCCACCTATTTCCCGGGGTTAAGCAATATTTGGTAGATGTGAAAAGGGTATTAATGTCGGTCACTACTGTATCTTTGACATTTCAACATCCCTATGAGTCTCCTTTTTTCTATTTTTTTGTTAACGTCAGGGATACAACTTGCTCCATATCCAGACAGTTTTCTTGCCATTTATTTGAAGCCAAAACAGAAATAGAGGTAAGTCAGAATCTCTTTTCCCCTTCTGATTTAACCTGATTATGCAGAAATATATCAAGAGTAGACCTAGTTTAATTTGCACCAAACAGACCATGAATTTGTATGTTTTTTTGTGGATGTGTACAAGTCAGTGTGTGAAATGTATGTATAGCATGTTGCTTTAGATGGTTTTGTTGTGATTGAATCTAATGTGGAGTTCTGCAAGAATTCAAAAAGTTCAGACACATGTGTTGCGTATTTTCTATGAAAAAGTATATAAGGCCATGTAAAAAAATATACATGTTTAGCGTCCCCGCCCGCTTCCTTTTTGAGGGCCGTCTCCTATTTTTTTTTTTTTTTTTTTTTTAAAGAAAAAAAACATCAAAAACACTGCTAAAATGGATCTATTTCTGATTTAAAAAAAAAAAAAAAAAAAAAAATTGTTGGTGCCATCTTGAAAAATTGCCCGAATGTCAGGGAAAATGTACCGAGCGGCCATTTTGAGGGGCCATTTTGAGCGGCTTCTGAAAGAAAAAAAAAAAAAAAAAGGGCCTCCTCCTTCCTATTGTTCGACTTTTATTTGGCCTAAGTGAAGACTAGGATAATTTAGAGTATTAAATTTGTTTTCCCCTACATTGTTCTCAAGTCTGTGAAACTGAAATATTAACCATAAAGACATTTTCAAAATCTCAGTCATTAACTGTGTATTATAAATTTCATTAAAAGTATCATGCAAGGGCTACAAAGATATTTATGGAACATTATATTTTTTCATTCATTTATTTTCAAGTTCAAGTTCAAGTTCATTTATTCAAAACCACACAAAACATGATATACCGTAATCTTTTACATAAAAAAGAGACTGGCAATAGTACATTAATCAACATATATCAACTTGATTACATCATTAAATGAATGGTTTTAGGACCCCTGTAGAAGCTAAGCTTGTGAGCGGGGCCCTATAGTCAACAAAATGCATACATTAACGATATGGCAAGGTGAATAAAAAGAATGTAATGTTTATAAAAGGGATGGAAAAAACTAAGCTACAGAATATAAATTCATTTATTTATTTCCACGTCAAGTTAAAACAATATTATATAATCTTCAAAATACAAACATTTAAAAAATATCTGAAGTGGAAGGATGATGAATGATGATGTCCCTGATGAGCATGATCTTGAACTATAGATATGTCATTAACAGTACTTTCTGTACCTGGTGCCTGGTGGTATGAAAATGCTACCAAGACATTTATGCAACATTATAAACTAGATGTCCCACTTGTGACATATTGAATTCTTGACCGGGGTAATAATATATCTGTAAAGCGCCAAGGCACATCCTTGGATTGGTGTATTGAGCGCTATATAAAAAAACAGATTATTATTATTATATTATAATAGCTTCTATGGCAGGACCATCAATCTACTTGATAGTATTTTTCAATCATAACTGGTAGATATTTTTATGGCTTGATACAATGTATAGACCTTGGCCCTGTCTTACAAAGAGGTGCAATTGATCCAAATCAGTCGCAAGTCCTCCAATTAAATTGGAAGTTTGCAGTCTCCTATCTCTTATGTACATAGTTGCGATTTATATTTATCGCAAATAAGTTGCGATTGATATCAACTCTTTGTGAGACGGGACCCAGATGAGCATCTTGAACTAGAAATATGTCATTAGGGACTTTTAGATTTGCGTGGACTGATACGTGTGACGTCCATTCACGGCAGTGCATTAACAGGACGTCGATCGTAGCATAGACCTATTGTCTTTGTGCGAATCTAAAAGTCCCTAATAACAGTGCTCTCTGCACCAGGCGCATCAGTGATATGCCTTTGATATTATAGATGTTTTTTTCTAAATGCCTCTTGCACATACAGCACATATGGGATTGTAGAAATGGGGTATGCATTAATGAGGGTTTAGCACACCTTTCAGTGGGCTCAGTCATAATGGTAGAGATTAAGGGTGCAGAACTACTCCAGATATTAGACGTAATATGATAAAGGAAAAATTGTGAGATCCAAGTATTCCGAGGATTATCCTTTTTCCTGGAGGAGATGATTTTGTGGTTTTGGGGCTCAAAATCTCACTTTCATTTTTTATAGGTCAGTAAACGCTATTTCTTGAGTGCCATGGGAGCAAGTAAGTCCCTTCCAAGAAGTTTAATGCAGTTGAACTTTGATTAAGACTGGCTGAATATTACCCTTCTTTCCTGATGTAGAAATAAAGTGTTGTGAAGTTTGGTTGATGATTTCAAAGGAGGAATTCCATATGTGCGAAAATTTGAACTCTTCAAAGTTTCTAGGACATTCATTATTTTTGTTGTGTGCTACAATTTTTTTTTGTCACTTAAAGAACAAAGTATATTCTTTCATTAACTTCATGGGCTGAAATATTAAAATCAAACTTATATGAACAACAATTTGAAGCACAAAAATTCCACATTTCTCTTCAGGATGAATGCTGGAGTTTTCCAGATGCAAAAAGTGTAATTTTTATTAGTATTTTATTGTTTGATAGCAAGTGCCTTGTGTGACATTGTAGTGTTGATGTTTATGCTCTTGTATTTGAACTCTCTTCTACACCATGTAGTAGTTGTGTAACAAAAAACAAAAACATAATAATAATAATAATACAATACTGCCTATGTGGAAAAGCCCAAAGGACTGAATCTTGTATTTCATCCATTGAAATTTCATGTGTAACCATATTGCCTGTAAATCAAGCCACGCTAAAGGGCTTAAAGGGATCTGGTAACTTTGTCTTAGATCCTTTAAAAAAATCTTTGATTTAGCTCATGCTGCAATGATAATTATAAACCTTTAGGTCAGTCAGAAACCCCATGACTTTTACAAGCCGATTGCCTGTCTGATTATCAAGATATTTATGATTGGAATTGAAATTAAATTTTTGCACCGGTCACTCAAAGGTTTTTACTTTTTTGAGGCACTTCTTGATCATGTTGAAGCCCAATTTTTTTGAAGGGCTTCACTATAATACCATATCACGGTACTGATAACACGTAGGGCCGTGCATCTCAGATTTAACATTGTTAAACAATCCCTTGAAAGTACAAGAGTATTGTAGGAGATGTATCGTATGTTTTGACATTAAGGTCGTAAGCGTTTGGAGTGTCAGTGAACATTCTCTCTTCAAAGATTTTTGCTTGATTTGGAAAGAGGCTAACAAGTACATACCACAAATCACTTGACTGTGAACGGTTATCAATTTGGGTCAATTATTCACTGATAAGATGCTTTCGCAAGAAGTGTTTCCCCACCATGAAGAAAAATAGTCTGCCACAGGTTACATGTACATTTATAGGAAACTCCAACCTTAATAGACATCTACTCTAAAAGGAAGCAGAAAATCGAAAAGAGGAGAAGGAGAAAAATTGAATAAAGTGGGACAAAAAATAGGAAAAAATGGATTTGTTAAAGTTGTGATCATTATATGTATTGTCACTTCAAATTGGCTGAATCAGTAATGTCACTGTGAAGTAGTGTAAGACAATGCACCCATTTTTTTCAAAAACAAAAACCGACTAAAATGTCAATTTTTGTCAAAAAGTATGACTGAAGAGGGTCTTTTCGTTTTAGATTACCCATAATAATGCTATCCATAATATATTTTGAGTGGTGTCCCAATTAGGGAGAATGCACTTAAGAGAAAAACAGAAATTAATGATATTTTCGTGCACAACAAACAGGAGAGTTTTCTGTGACAATGTCATAATCCACTGACTACATTACCAATTTCAGATTCGCATGGATTTAGTGATCTCATAATATTCAACCACTCATTTCTTTTTTAGTATTGACCTGAATTATTTCCAAATTTTCACCATTCTGTTATTCTCTCATTCGTATGCTTTCATACAATGATCTTATCACAAAGGCTGGATTGCCCTTAAAAATTGATCTAGTTTTAAACTTTTAAACAGATCATTATCAGCAGTAATACATTTTTTTACTGGTAAGAAAAAAAGCTGAAGTCAAGAAATGAATGATCTCTTATTCCCAGTATACCCCCCCCCCCCCTCATTAACAAAAGCACAACAAACAAAGACAAGAACTGGACCCTCATTCTCTATCGAGTTTTCATTAAAAAATACATACCGTAATTAATTTTTGTTTTTTTTTTTTGTTTTTTTGGCCGACTTAAAAAACAGTAGAGGACCTACATGTAGGATAGAACCTTGTGGTACGCCGTGTAATAGAAGAAAAATTGGAGGAATTATTATTATCAACTACATATTGAAATCTATCCGAAATATTACTTTCAAACCAAGATGACAGACAAATTTGAGTGTTGTTCTAGTTTCCGAGTGGTGAGTCAACACACCGATTACTGAGCTGGGAGACATTGCCAGGCATAGCGCCAGGTGGAGGGGCATAAATCAAAACTTTAAAAAAAGGTGCGGTTAATACATCGTTAATTACGGTATATGCTATAATATGCTTTTTATTCTCGTTTTGCTATACAAAAAAAAAATTACATACAATAAGTTTGGGTAGTCTGATTGGGGGGAGGGGTGACGTCTCAACAAGCTTTTGATGAATATGTTGTTGTCAGCCCTTTTGTATGAGCCATCATGTACACAGATCTATACTCATATTAATATTTTGATACTCTGCGATGTAGACCAGTGGATTGATATAATGAAAGTGGATTAATGACGAAAGCATTGGTAAGTGAAATGAGTAATGGATCTAGACAATAACAAAACAAAAGAGTTCAATGTAACGACTGATGTATAAAATCAATTTGTAAAAGCAGTCAACCTGCTTGCGAGTGCAATTTTCCGGGATGGTTTCAGAGATAATGAAAATGAAATAATGGATTTGTGAATGTGGCCATGTCTAGACAATGGATGTGTGTACTGTCATACATGCATCACCTTTCAAGTTAGCATCATACTGATTAGGAGAGAGATGGAGTGGAAAATGCCATATAAATGTGTTTTTATATTCTGCCAAGTAAAATGAAAGTACATGTATGATAAGAATTGCACTTTATTACTATTAGGTGTATACATAATTGATTCATATGTACATGTAGTGTATTCCCAAAAGAGCCAGAGAGGGAGAGAGAGAGAGAGAGAGAGAGAGAGAGAGAGAGAGAGAGAAAGAGAGACAGACATACAGACAT